GGGGAATCCCTCTGCTTCACCAGCGTCCTCCAGAGTGCTGAGGCAAGCCGTGGACTCCCTCCTCTCCTCTCTCCACAGGCACAGCTGGGCTGATGCGCTCTCCTCCATCCGCCTGCCCTACGTGAAGTACATTTGCCCCCACGCGTAAGTGCTGTCCTTGCTTTGGGAAGCGGGTCTGGGTGGGCTCTGACACCCGTTGGTGCTGCCAAGGTTGTTTGGGGATGGGTGGCCTGTACCCTGACCTACCCGCAGGGCTGTGCAGTGAGGCTTGCTCTCCTGCTGTGACCAGTTTACACAGGGCCCCTTTCTCTGGCGTTCTCTGCCTGCAGGCAGAGTGGTTCCCCCCAGAGCTGATCAGCACAGGAGCTGCTGCTCCAAGGTTCTTTTCTCCCTCCTCCTGTCCTCCACCTGCCCCTGATGGCTGCAGTGAAAGCCAAAAGCACCGGAGCTCCTTCTCCATCCCCTGGTTGGGCAGGAGGGGGCAGCCCCTGGGCTGGGTCTGGTGGCACCGATCTGCTGCTGTCCCTTGGGAGAGGTGTCCTGCGGCTGCGGGCAGGAGGGTCACCCCGCTCCCCTCACCCTGACTTGCTTCTCTTTGCACTTGAACTAAACCACCCAAACTGTTGCCTCTGCAGGCCCCGAATCCCCGTGACCCTTAACATGAAGATGGTGATGCCCTCCTGGTCAGTGCTTTGGGTGGCAGGGGTGGAGGGGACCCTTTTTGGGGGTGTATTATGGAGGGTGAGAGGGATGGGGGGGGACTGAAGAGCCAAAATCCGCTTCCCTGTAGGAGTCAGGGGAAGGGCAGAGCACACCCAGCTCATTCCTCCCCACACCCTGGGTGCTGGGATAAGTTTGGGGCTGACCTTGCTTCTTCTCTCAGGTTTGACCTGATGGGGTTGACTCCGGATGCACCTGAGGATGAAGCTGGAATCAAGAAAGCTGCAGAAAACAGTAAGAAGTTTTGGGGAGGGGGAAGCACTGAGCTCCTGGGTGCCTCTCCCTCACGGGGATGGAAGCGAGTGCCTTCCTTCCGCCTCTCCTTCCTTTCTGTTCTCCTGTGATCCCAACCCACTGTCTTCTTCCAGTTAAAGCAATTATTGAGCATGAGATGAAGAACGGGATCCCACCCAACCGCATCATCCTGGGGGGCTTCTCCCAGGTGAGTTGGGCTGATGTGCAGCACGCGGAGGGTTGGGCCCCTCTTTGCCCTCTGGGAGGAGATGGGTGGTGAGGAGACGGGTGGATGCGGGGCTGGGGCGTGTCCCGGGGCTGCAAATTCCGGCTGGGC